CCCTCGACCAAAAATTGATAGGATATAGATAGGTAGAAATCGTGGATGAATAAAATCATAACCCTCCTTGCTTTGCCGTAGTCGGGTAATGAGCTATACATAATATTCTGTAGAACAATTTACAAGACTGTGATTGGTTCAAATATTGAAATTCGAATCATCGACATGATAATTTCAAAATAGTTACCCATCCTCACCCGACCGTAAATCTAAGTCCAAATTCCACAAACAACATTTGAGTACTTGTGGGCGTGGTCATGTTAGTTTAGGCGCAGACCACAGATTTTTTGTTGGCCGTTAATTGAGTTAAGTCGGGCTGTTAATCAGTACGGAGATGACGTATGAAAGTGCGCACATTACGCCGATTCGGTATCGACCGATTCTTCATACAAATTAGAATCGGATCGTGCCCAACTATCGGCCAACTAAAAATCGGTGGTCTGCGCTTAGGCTTATGCCTTATCGCAGTGCAAATCGATCCATCAGCATTTTGTCCTCCCTCTTTCCTTAGTTAGAGTAAGCGCACACCGTTGATTTTTCGTCGGCCGATAGTTTAGTCGGACAGTTGATCAGTATGGGCATGATGGGAGTGCGCACACTACGCCGATTCGATTTCGCCGATTCTTCATACAATTTAAAATCGGGCACAACTATCGGCCAACTAAAAATCAACGGTGTGCGCCTACTCTAAAAGTTACTATAATTAATTAATACTGGTTGCCATCAGCATATAATATAAACAAGGGAAGTGTGTTATGAGGAAAACATTGTTTATCATGAAGCCTATTCTTAGGCGCAGACCACCGATTTTTCTTGGCCGATAGTTGAGTCGGGCTGTTGATCAGTATGAACATGCATGTAAGTGCGCACATTACACCGATTTGGTATCAGCCGATTCTTCATACAAATTAGAATCTGGCCCAATTATCGGCCAACTAAAAATCAGTGGTCTGCGCCTAGGCTTATGCCTTATCGCAGTGCAAATCATCCATCAGCATTTTGTCCTCCCTCTTTCCTTAGTTACAGAGATGCCACACGGGCGTTGACGTTGCGGGAGTTGCCGCTCCATTGTTCTAGCTAGAATCTAGATATAAATCTGACGCAGGGGCGTCCCTGTGGCATCTCCCTTATTCCTCCATCCACCAAAACTTCACCATTTGATGTTCACCTACCTGCACAAACGCAGGGTAGGACGACAGCGACATCTTGTATCCCGGGATGAGCTCGTTACTTCCGGGCGCTATCCGGTATTTCAGCACGTACATCTTTTGGAAGCGCAGCATCGACTGGTAGCTGAAGAATTAAAGCTTTATCAACATTTCATTCCAAATAATACTATAATAGTAAGTCTGAATTGGACCGCATCAACTTAATTAAAAGAAGTTGGAATCTATTTGAATACTTGCAACATAAATAAATTTTATGATTTTTTTATTTTATGACCCAAGTCTTCATTACCCTGTCTTGTACCGCGTGACTTGCACTTGCAAGACATACGTTAGTTAGGTTATAATTGCCTTGTGTCATGTGACCTGCGAGATTTCAGGTCGGTCATTTATGTTCATTGCTCCTGTATCGACGCAGATGCTCATTGCCTGTACCGCGTGATTTGCGAGACATAAACGAGACGACGTAGAGGTGAAGCAAATGCTGTGTACCATTGATTTGAAAGACAGGTAAACCAGATGTTCACTAACCTGTCATCTATGATCTGCGCGACGTACCTACGGGTCGACGCAAATGTTCATTGCCCTGTACCATTGATTTGAGATCAGGTCAACTAGAGTTTCACTTACTAGTTTATTTTTTATTTAAAGACTATTGCACACACATAAGAATGTTCCGTACAAAAAGGCGAGCTTAATGCCATAAGGCATTCTCTCCCAGCTGACCTTGAGCAATACAGAGAATTTGAGTAGGCGGTGCTAAAAAGCTACAAAAACGTGACGCAATACCACGTGACACATAGTCGACACAGGTGCCCTATCTTGTAACGCATGACTTGTGATACATTCAGGTCGGGTGTCCACTGACCTGTTCCACGTGACCTGGGACACGTAGAGGTCGGAGAGGTCGGGCAGCAGCTTGACGAGCCCCGAGCAGTGCTCCGGGAACAGGAAGCCCTCGGGCGTCTCTGGCGGCATCGTCAGCGCGAACGCCAGCTCGTCCAGGTCGCCCAGCATGTTTATCCATCTGTAAACACAATAGAATAGACTTTATTGATCACAGTAATTATAAACAACTAGCGGCCGCCCGCGACTACGTACGCGTGAATCCCTTTTTACTTAGGGGTGGAGTTTCATAAAATCCTTTCTTAGCGGATGCCTACGTCATAACATCTATCTGCATGCCTAATTCCAGCCCGATCCGTTTAGTGATTTGGGCTGTGCGTTAAGAGATCACAATGTCAGTCAGTCACCTTTGCGTTATAATAGTTTAGAGCAGTGGTTCTTAAGCGGTGGTCCGCGGACCACTGGTGGTCCCTGGAGGCATTCCAAGTGGTCCACGAAGACATCGTAATAAACAAGTGACGTGACGTGATGAGTCGAGTCAATACATTGCAAAGACTCGAGTTCGATATCTCTCAAAAGGGTGCGCAATGCAGGAACACCGGACATTATAGCACGACGTGCATTTAAAAAATCATCGCATCGCAACGCCAACGGATCGTTTTCGAACAAGTGATGCAATAGCGAGCGAGGTGGGGTGGTCGCGACCCAAGCACTATGTATAGTATATCCGGCATTCGTCGTGGCTACGTTGAACCATCACGTCTACGCTAGCAAAACGTCGACACGTCTAAAAGACGCTAGAGTGGGGGGTCCCTTAGATAACCAGTATTACCCTTGACAGACAAGGTACTGTCGACTATCCTGTAGTAGAATAACATTAGGTAGTTTAGATACTCACATTATGTCTCTGACGGTAAGCAGCTGGTAGGGGTCACTGGTGGCCTCATTGTACCCGATGGCCAAACCTTCCAGTTGAATGTAGTACAGTTTCATCTGGAACAGTTTGAAGATTAAGTATGAATATTTTTTTACCAAATCTAAAATGAATTCGTTCTCAAATTAAGTTTAGGTTAATTATAAACAAAGCATTCCTCTTTTCAGAATAGAGATACCAAAATGTGAGTCAAAGCTTTATGATAAACAATGTTTTCCTCATAACACACTTCACTTGTTTATATTATACGCTGATGGCAACCAGTATTAATTAATTACAGTAACATAAAATATCCTTTTGTTAAAAAAAAAGTTGTTTGTTTATTTTTTACTTGCCTGATACCAGTAAGCATCATTAGGGTGCTGGGACACCATGGAGGCAATGTAGGCCTCATTCTTATCCACGAACTCCTCAATGAGGCCGCAGACGTCTGTCTTATTATAGCAATACCTATAACAAATATTGAATTGTGGAACACATGTGCCATAATTGACCCACATAATGTAGGTCAATATTTAAATTGTTTAATTATTAATCATACCAAATTATTATCTAGTAAAAGCAACTTTTAATATCAATTGACAATATTTACAATGAAATATTAAAGACTCTCTATCCACACTCAATACATCCAAAAGTGGCTCGGTTAAGGCTTTTAACATAAATTTTATTTTGTTGATCTGTCATTTATTGTAAGTTTATATTAATGTGAATTTAGAAACTATTTTATTGATAAAAAATCTTTGATGTTTTTGTTTCTTGATCAAGGGCTAGATAAATAGCTCTCCATACCCTTTCATCATGGAAAACCTTGGGGGAGGCCTTTGTCCAGCAGTGGACATCATTTGGTTGAAACGAACGAACAAACCCTTTCAAGACATTCTGCCAGTGCATCCAGATGAGGTCCCGCGTGAGGAAGCCCTCCAGGTATCCAGCCGCGTACGCCTGCTGCTCATCACTCGAGTCCCCTGACGTGTGCAACTCCAGGAATGCCCAGCTAAAATGTTGTTAACAAAACATTCAATTAAGTTATTAATTACAAAAAATTTAAGAATAAGCACAATACTTTTAAAAAGGTAGGTACTTGCAGGTTTAAATGGCATATGATGTGATAGATAAACAAAGTCGATGTGTGATGTGACCTATCCTATTCTAAAACTAATATTAATGAGATCTTTCCTTCCAATTTAAATCATCATGTTTACATTATTAAACACAGCTGTTTTACTTAGTTCTAGTTAGTTCTAGTTAGTAGTTTTAGTTAGTTGATAGATAAACAAAAATAACAAACCCAGTGCTGTTGATTTCGTTGCTGTATGTAGCCTTTGCGACGTGAACATCCGGGATGTCCGCGAAATAATCAGTCACGGTTATCTCAGCTTTGTTGCCCACCCAAGTCACATACCCATATTTACTTTCCGTGCCAATAAATAAAGCAAAAATACAAAACAAAAAAAATTTCAATGAACCACCCATGTCGACCACTCTTGCTGAGAAATCACTGGGTAATGAAGCCTCTAATGAGAGCGCGAATGAGTAATTGCAACTTAATTAACATTTATCACAATTAAATAAGGCCGCAAGTGAATAAATATAGATATTGCTAATCAAAACAACTTTTGAAAACACGGGGCAGTGACTGACTTCCGTTTTGACGAGTAGTGAACTGTCAAATTGAAGTGACATTAATGACAGCAATTTATAGTGTTACAATTGTAAAAAAAAACAAACAAAAAGTTTTTATATTTTTCTGATGAGCATTTTTCTCCTTTTCTAGGAATCGGTCCTCAAAGGGTTTCAAATAACGAAGTTTTCCCATAAAGTTAATATTCTTCCGAAGGAATATTAACTTTATGAGTTTTCCTCAATTTATATCCTGTTGAAATATTTGTGCCAAACTTCGTTAAGCCTTTCCGTAAAAAATGCAATTCGCTTGAGATAGTTCCCCAGGAAGTACAATGTTTCTATTTTTATGATGATGATGATTGAAAAAGAACTTCACTTTATAAGAGAAACTCAACAGTCTTTATTTGTACTAGAATTTGCTCTACAATTCAATCTCAGGTCCAAACAGGGTAACAAAACAGGTTCAAGTTGCAGTGAGCTTCATGCCGATCTCCCCGCACTTGTAAGCCACTTCCCGCACGAGATACGGCGCGCGTTCATGAGCCGGCGCAGTCATCCACTCGTGGACGTTGACGCCCACCGCGACGTAGCCCAACTTCTCCACAATATCGAGTATGAGTCGGAAGGTGCCGCGGAGGCGGTTGCTGTTCATTGAAAAACAACCCGGGCTGAAGTTCATTATGCAGACGCTGAAAAAAGATTGTGAAAATATCTTTTATTTTAAAATTGGGGCTGGCTAGGTAATCTTTTTTAAAGCCCGGTCTGTGAGCACGTTGAATTTTGTCCAATGACCCCATCCTTTTCGCTCGCGCGTAATTATATTGCTGTCGCGACTGTGCGACTGGCACCGGCAATGAGAATTACGCGCGAGCGATAAGGATGGGTAGCTTGGGGTCATTGGACAAAATTCTACGTGCTCACAGACCAGACTATAGCATCCTTTACGTTATGGCGCAAGTACACTATGCGGGAAATGGGCCAAGACGTAATAGTGTGAACACCATCTCGGTCTTTCTCCTTCGACCCGTGCGTCGCCCATAATTCGGTGTGCAGGCTAGCGCTTCGACTTGGACGATTTTCCGCATAGTGTACTTGCGCCATCACATTATGTTGTAAATCACTTACACAATTGCACCTTGGGGTATGCTTAGTTCTTTAATCGGCACTTTATTGACAAACCCTGCTGGGACTGTGAGCTTCATAGGGTACCCGCCTTTCAGACACGTTACTACATCTGAAAGAAATACAAGATAATAATTATTAAAAAATGTTGTTTACATGCATTGTAAGAATACAAAACACATATTATCCATTGTAAGTTCTTTTTGTAAAAAGTAGCTCCCAGAAAGAGAAGCAAACCGAAAGGTCATTTTTTTCAAATTATTTTAAAGAAATGAATAGGAATAAATACCTGCTACTATTCCATTCGGCAGCACCACATGCTTGGCCACAAACTCCCTCCCGCCTAATCCTCTCGCTAGATGTTCCTCCAGCTGCTCCGTCAAGCTGTGCACCGGGTACAGAGCCTTCGCCCTCTCCAGCGTCTCAGGAGGCAGCGAATACTCCCGACTATGGAAGCACTTCACAGCCTCATGCAGCGTCAGCAGCTGCAGGTAATCCAGCGTATTATTCTCCCGCGACAAATAATCTTTTAAGAACTCCTTCGAAAACACCCTTTCGAGCACCCTATCTTCGTAGTGACCTAGCGAAGCCAGTTCTAAGCAGAGTTTCGTCCAAGGCAGCGCGAAGTTCTTGCCGTCGAGGACTGGGTTTAGAGAGATCTGTTTTCGGAGCACGTCCCACTGGTCGGGGTTGGGTCTGTAGTTGTTGTTGGACAAGCAGTTGATGAAGCCGAAGAGGATGTTGGTGCGCGCTTTGGAGAGTATCGTGGGGTCCGACGAGGCTAGTTGGCAGAGGTACTCGACCAAACCTAGGTGGGTGTGGGCCTGTAAATAATAAAAATAGATGTTATTGAGTTTAAAATGTTTTTGTGGCATACTTGATTGACCTATGAAACACACTTACGAGTCTAGACAGTACTCTGGCCAGCAGCAAGCTCCTCTCGAAGTCAATGTTGTTCTGTACAACATAGTTTGCCAACGCGTCCATCAGCTGCTCGTGGTAATACTCCGGGTGCTTCTCCAGCACGCGGCCCTTGATCCTCGCAGCCGTCCGCAGAACATCGTCATAAGTCAGCTCGTGCACACGCTGCGTCAAGATATCGCAGCATATGTGCAGCAGCTGAACTCTAGTCGGAAACACCTCCTCGGTGCAGTTCACCTGACACAGCGACCATATTATCGACTTAGCGTTCTGCGCGTTTATCTGCTGGTCATGCAGCAACAGTCCTGTCACTATGTTGTTGATACACCGGTCTGGGAGGTCGTGGTTGCAGCAGTATGATAGCATATCCCTCAAAAGAGGCAAATCTTCATTGTCCATTTCAAGAGGAAGTCGTATTTGAAAGGCAAGGGGTAGTGCCAGTTTTAGCGCGTCTACCAAGTGGTTCTTACAGTCGTATCGATTTAGGAGAAAGTCTAGGAACATGATCTGGCGGACGTTGATGAAGTTGATGTTATATCTGATGAGCTGCAGCATGGTCTGGAGGATGAGCGAGTCGACGGGCACCTTCAGGTAGGACAGCACCTTTGTCGCTTCGATAGCCTCGTTGATTTCAAGAGCCCGCGCGTGCTTTTTGAAGTTCTGACAGAGAACGCTAAACGCTGGGTTCTTTATAATGCTTTGGGTGTCTTGGTCCATTCTGAAGGAAGAAAAAAGTAAGTTGTTTTATTTGAACTACTTTGAAAATAAAAACATGTGTTAAAGAACAATAAAGACGAGGATGCGAGCTCTTATTGGGCTGCTAATACCTAGACTCATAATGAAACAGTGGCGTTGAGACCGTCACCTTTGACGCCTAACATAAAAACTTGGAAGGTAATAATATAGTAGAGCTGAGGATATCTCATAGAACATGTAAAGCATGGTGTGGTCTTAAAACCCATGTGTATTTACGTAACTCCTTGCATTCTTCTTTCGTGGTCATATGAGTGGTCTAATGAAGAGAAAGATAACTCCTTACTTTCTTCTTTCTTGGCCATATGAGTGGTCTAATGAAGAGAAAGATAAAGGCCTATTCAGACCTAAGCGGTATTCGCTACCGTCTGCGGCAGAGAATACCCAGTGGGTATGCGGTAATAATATTGTTCAGACCTAAGCGGCATTCGCTACCACGTGGTATGTACCTCTACCCACAGCGGCAGCGAATATCGCTCAGGTCGCTCTAGCCGCAATACTTGATACTAAATACCTGAGCGAAACCCGCGCGGTATGTACCTCTACCCACAGCGGCAGCGAATCGATCAGGTTTGAATAGGCCTTAACTTGTTGCTGCTGTGGTAACTTACTTGCCCGCCTTCTGCAGCTCGAACAAGCTGCGCAGCGCCTGCAGCATGTGTTTGTGCGTCATCACGTTGAGGTGCGTCTGCACAGCCGCCAGCAACTCGGCAGCGGTGGGCGCCGTCTTTAGGCGGGACATCACCGCGTCTGGAGACTTGGCGCGTGTTACTTCTGTTACTGAAAAATTAGTAATTCTTTGCAAGTCTTAGGGCCGGCACACACCTTTGGCTTATTCCAATATTCTTCATTATCATTACGTTCAAAATAAAATCCTAATATAACGGGGATTAATGAAATTTTTAGTCCATTATTCCCCATTATAAGCTCCAATTGGCGTTAACGGGGATTAGTGAACGAAAAGTTCACACAATAGTGGAATAAACCCGCGCTTTTATCCTACAACCGTCTATACTAGATTCAGTCCGACTTTCGTGTGTATCGCTACAAAAGTTGTGTGCATTGGCTCTTTAGGGTTCATGCACAATGCGTCTTTCAGGCATTGTCAACGCACGTTTCACGAAACGCGCTGTATATGCGATGTTATCACATCAAAGTTACTACTACTCAGTCTAAAAAACGCATGTTGAAAGCACTGAATAAATAATGTTGAATGGCATGGATGTCCTTATTGATGACACATTATGACCACACAATTAACAGTTTTGCAATAAAGTATTGGGTACTACCATAAAAAATTACTGGTCTTCAAGGACTGAGAAATTGACTGTTTCTGGCACAAATCACAATACACATAAGATATGAAAGGTATGATGGTAAATAAATAAAAACATAAATATTGGTGCTGCACTGGGCAGAAGCCGAAGGTAATTTAAAATTTCAAGTATTATTTAATTTTAGAAGTTGAGTTAATCTTGAATTCTTGAAGCAATCAATACATTTTAAGAACACCTTACTGTATTACTCAAGATTGAAGCAAATAAATATATTTCATTTCATTTCAAATTAAATAATAAGGTTTTTACCTGTTGTTGACAAGCTCCGCGACTTGATAGCGGCGCGGCCGAGCGACCCGCCTCGCAGCACGTTCTGCCACACGCTCTTCAGCAGCAACGTCATGATGTCTGGAAAATACTCTTTGCCGTACAACAGTAAATGGAGACCTAACATCCCTCTGCAGACCAGTTGTTACAATACCTCTTGCATTCCAATTCCTATTTGTGTACTACATAGTACAGTGTCTTATTGGAATATTTTCAGTCATAAACTTACAACTTTTTGGTCTAATTTGAGGTTGTTTTTATGATACTAGAATATTTATCTTGAATTAAAGGTTATGTTAGATCTTCATTTATTTAACTTTGATTACGTGCTGACGGCAATGATTTATTATGCAGTAACAGAATAAATCCGTCTTTTACTTAATAAACATCTAAATATTTACCTTGTAACTGAGCAATGTTTATAGTTAATAAGTAAAAGTTATAAAAATATAAAACACAGACAAAATATAACAAATAGTCCTGCTGTAAAAAATTAACAACTGAGACTGACTTTCTCTTTACATTTTTCACTTTTAAAATGCGGCTTAACAATTTGAATTATTAAATTTTTCGGCGAATTTATTCGACTTTGTAACATCCATAACATCTGTCGATCAGCTGCTTTTGACAAGTTTCTGTCAAATTATTTCGAAAAGAAGTTTAGTTCAGAAAAGTATGAAAATACATGAACACGAAATAATTTAGCAACCATTTAGCAATATTGTTTTTTGCCAATAATTAATAATTATTTTTATAAAATTAAATACTTTTCTTAAAACGCTGGATGCTGGTGATGAAACGCCAATGGTAGCGGTGCGTTCAAAACATGGTTCAAAACATACCGATAATTAATTAATGGAAAAGTAAGAATGGTTCATTAAAAATATTTAACTGTTTTGTTATTTGCCAAAGTAACAATGTACAAATGAACAACAAACTATAAAATAAAATAAATCAATCATGAATCTATTGTGAAAAAAATCAGTCAAGATTCGGAACGACCGCTAAGCCACAGATTAGAGAGTATGTCTAGCTAAGCTGTCACCACTGTCACTGTCAATCAGTGTTTTTTTGTTGTGTACTTTTGTGTTGTTTCGTAAATTGTTATAAATAATTCTTCTATTTGTTTCTGATTGAAACCACAGTAGATATATGATTTATCTACTGTGTTGAAACAGACCGTAAACACCAGTAAATTATTTGGTAAAATTAATCATGGGCACAGAATCGGCCAGGCCCGAGGAATCAACATCTGGGGCTGGGGAACCAGCTACGACGAGCAAGGAAAAGAACACTACTACTACATCCAAAATACATTGTAGACCGGACAGAGATATTACTAAGAAAATAATAACACCGGGCGACTACACCGTCGTTCCTTACGAAGATTCCCGTTGTAAGATCGTTATAACAGATGTGAACTGCGCAGACGGTGCGGGGCCGTGCGACATGGTTACCTGTAGCCGTATTTTCAGCGAGAGCTTCGATGGGAATGTGCTTATTGGGGATTGCGACTCGTTTATTGATAAGGACTTTGAGCTGGCGTTGCAGCAGATGTGTTGCGGGGAGAAGAGTGAGGTGACGATCCTGTATAAAGACGCGAAGGGGCAGCAGGCGCTGAAGGTGTCGTGTAAGGTGGAGCTGACGGAGGTGATGGAGGAGCAGCTCGTGAGCGACTGGAGCTGGGAGCGGCTGCACGAGGCAGCTGTGCATCACAAAGTATGGAATTTACACACTTTTATTTGCATAATTATAATACAATTATTTATCATATCATATCATAACTGAGTTTCTTGCACTGCTTCTTCTCATCACTGCCCATTTATTGTCCCAAAGCAATGGTAGGGTTCAAGTAATTCTGGGAGGTGTAATCCAATTTGCAAAATAAATAGGCACTTACAGGGCAGATATGCATGGGCATGGCACTGCATCTCAATTGACACCAGGTGCGATTGCGGTCAAATACCTGCTTTGTCATGCATAAAAAAATGAATTCTTGATCTGTATTATCTTTGATACCAAATAAATATTTTTTTCCTTATTCAAAAGAATTGACCACCCCTGCAACTATTTTTGTTTATGGTTTTTTTTTTCTATAGGAAAGAGGAGTAGAGCTTGTGAAAGAAAAGAGAATAGTGGATGCCTTCAGGAGGTTCAGCAAGGCTCTGAAGATGCTGATAGCTATAGAGCCCTTCGACCCGCAGGTCATTGACGAAGAGAAAGTCAAGGAACTGATTGATCTCAAGGTATTATGTTAAAGAAAATACCATATACATACTATTTAACTAAATGAATTATTTCCATCATTATTTACCGACTGCCATTTTACAACAGAAAAAAAACATGTTGGTATTATGTATTATATTTTAAAATGATTCACAGCCAGATTTCACTTTTTGCAGTTACTACTACATCCCACTAATCAATCTGATTTTTTTAGGTGAAATTATACAGCAACTTGGCCCACTGTCAGTTGCACTACAATCAGCATGAAGCAGCAGAGATCCTCTGTACGAATGCTCTACAGTTTGACCCTGACAACGTCAAAGCACTGTACAGGAGGTCCCTAGCATTTGCTGGTGTGAAGAAGTATGAAGAAGCTTGGGAAGACATACAGAAAGCTCTCAAGTTGGATCCCAATGATAAAGCAGTCAAGCAAAAAGCTAAAGATATCAAAGACATCATGGATAATATAAAAAGGAAATATGATGAGACCATAAAGAAAATGTTTTATATGCAAGAATGAATGCGACTGAGTCTTAGGCTGAGTTGCACCACCTAACTTTAACCGTAACTATAACAATAACGAGTGTATTTTTTATGGAGCTTGACAGATTTTTGACGTTTGTTAAAGTCAAAGTAAGATGGTGCAACCCAAACTTGTTGTGTTAAGTGATTAAGAAATTATTGTTATCATAAGTATTTATATTCTAAATAAGTATAGCCGGTATCTATCTATGACACTCTTCTTTGCATTTACTGTATGTACGTACCTATACAGTTTTCAAACTTATTGTGGTAATAGCATGACTTAGTAAAAATAGAAAATGTTTATTGGACATACATTTTTAAGATTTCTCTTATATCAAGTTATTAAAAATATTATTATAATATACCTATCTCCTAATGTCAAAGTGTAAAACACTATATGAAAATAAAGATACTTTCTGAAACCAATTATTTTCCTTGTATATGTATTTATTATTTTTCTTATTTTTATGTTTTAGAATGTAAACAAGATCGCCAACGTTAAAAGACATTGTATACATACAGTTGGAAATCAGCGTCGTTACTACGAGTATATGCAACAGGTAGGTAAGTACTGTTGACAATTTGTTTTACTATAGAAGAACGCGTTTACGTAGTTTCGGGTTATCTTTCACTGTCGCCCATGCTGGCATCTCGCTTTGCATGAGAGGGATGGCAATATTCGAAACATCAGATAGGTTTTTCGGAGTGGCCCCGCTGATTGCATCGATCGTCGTTTTATCCGAGTGCATNGGGGCAAACAAAGGACGCGTGTGCAAAACGATGGTGAAACTGAATTAAATAAAAAGACATTTTGTTAATGTGAAGTGTTTTAGGGATTGCCGAGTGATTCTTCTAATAATTAAAAATGGTAAATTGTAGCGTAATTGGCTGTAAAAACCGTACTCAACGAAAATGTGAAAACATAACATTTCACACGTAAGTAAGCCTCCTTTATATTATGTTTCTTATGGTTTACCTTTATTTAAGTGTATTGATCTTTGATCCTTTATATCAACATAATATCAAAGGTAAAAAGAAGACTATTGTAAATTACATTGAAAAATGTATTTCTATTAATACCTGACCAATAAAAAGAGGTCGTCTATGGCCCAATTCGGAGGGCTATGACGATAAAGGCAGCCATTTTTTGAGTATTTTAAATTTAGCCGGATTATTATCCTTTCAGGGATACCATAATACAAAAGGGTAAAAGTTCCCGATTTAAAGGGTAATTTAAATTTGACTAAGAAATCGTTTAATAATTTAATTTGATAATAATAATAAGCCTTTTATTTCCGCAAATATGTTCATTTTACATGTAACACTCTGAATTTATAACATAGAAAACTTATTGGAATTTTATTTGATAGATAGAACTTAATTGGTTTGGAGTGATAGTTAGGTATTATTTAAATTAATTATGACTCTTCTTATTTTTTATAGATTCCCAACGGACGAGACTTCACGAAGTCTTTGGATTGCAGCGACTGGACGGCAAAATTGGCAGCCCACTCAGCACACTCGCATGTGTTCTGTCCATTTTCAAGCTGGTTGCTTTCAGAAAAAGCAGCAGAAAATGTATTTGGCAAATTATTCAATACCAACATTAGCCGTTCATGTAAGTTTAGAAAGCCTCAATGCATACCTATGTAAATAATAACGCTTTTAATTTACTATTCTCACAGCGTCGCGTTGGGTCTTCATAAATGACCTCGAGTATACTTACTATTTTTGTTATCTTTATTCAAACATTTTTTTAGTTATTTAGATATAAAGTTTTTCCTGTATCAATTTTATTTTGCAGGATGTACCAGTTCATTGTGACAAAGCTTCATCTAGCGAAACTACCGAAGTTTTACCCATGGAATGCGATAATCAAGCAGTAAGTAATATCTTGTTAGATAAATAATTTTACTAGGTGGAGCTTGAGAAAATATTTTCTTGAGTTGCGGTCTTGCGAATCCCTCAACTTATTTCATCTTTTTTTATTTTGCAGTCAAATAATCTAGCAGACACGATGACACCAAGAAAGTTAAAGCTGACAGTGAATTTACAAAGAAGAACGTTAATAGCTGAAAACCGCAAGAAAAAAATAACCGCATTGAGATCAAAGACTCGAAGACTTGTAAAAAAATGCTGAATTGACTGATATTATAGAAAATTTAAAAACAAAGCGATTCATCAACCAGGAAGCAGCGGATTTACTTTCTGTGCTTAATAATGCCTCGGACTTCATTAAGCCAAACAAAAGTAAAGGACATCATCCACGTTTCATATATTTTTGGTCCAAAATCAAAAGTGTCGGCCAATAAAAAAAGAAGTGTTGTGTTCAGACAGAATACGTCTGCCTTAGCATTTGTTACTATGGCATCAAAGCCGTAGCTCCACTGTGCGTCGAGTATTTGAGATTTAAAAGTCATCGATTATTCATACATTTTTTGTTCAAAATCAAAAGTGTCGGCCAATAAAAAAAGAAGTGTTGTGTTCAGACAGAATACGTCCGCCTTAGCATTTGTTACTATGGCACCAAAGCTGTAGCACCACTATGCGTCGAGTATTTGAGATCTAAAATTCATCGACGATTCATACATTTTTTGTTCAAAATCAAAAGTGTCGGCCAATAACAAAAAGTGCTGTCTTCTGACAGAATACGTCCGCCTTAGCATTTGTTACTATGGCACCAAAGCTGTAGCACCACTGTGTGTCGAGTATTTGAGATCTAAAATTCATCGACGATTCATACATTTTTTGTTCAAAATCAAAAATGTCGGCCAATAAAAAAATAAGTGCTGTATTCTGACAGAATACGTCCGCCTTAGTATTTGTTACTATGACACCAAAGCTGTAGCACCACTGTGCATCGTAGTATTTGAGATCAAAGTCAGTCGTTTCATATATTTTTAGAGCTCAAATACTACGATGCACAGTGGTGCTACAGCTTTGGTGCCATAGTAATAAATGCTAAGGCGGACGTATTCTATCAGAATACAGCACTTTTATTTTTTGGCCGGCACTTTTGATTTTGGACCAAAATGGATGATGTCCTTTCACCCGAAGTGCGAAAAGCTTTAAATCTTCATTTCATCAGTCCACGCGCCTATAATTATGTGCGCCAGCATTTTAAAACTTGCCTGCCCCATACACGTACATTAGTACGTTGGTATTCAACTGTAGATGGTGAACCAGGATTTTCATCTGAAGCTCTTCAAACTATAGAAAAAATTGCAAAAAATAATATTTCGAAAAAACTGTTATGCAGTTTGTGCTTTGATGAAATGGCAATAAGAAAATGTGTAGAGTGGCTGGTAGGGCAAAAAAAATGAGACATGTATAGGCTCCTTAGAGCATTAATTGACAATTTGTAAGTACTAATTTCATTAGTGTATGTATACAAATAAAGATAATTTTGATTTTATTTATCCTCTAATCAGAACATTCTGCCAATAATAATATTTGAATCTGCATGTAATAAATATTTTTATTTTTAAATGATTTTCGTTTTATTCCTGTATGCCTATTGTATTAAATGATTAAATGTTGTCAAATCTTTTCATTCTCACATTAGGATAAACTTAAAAATTGGGGAGTTTATTTTCAAACATGGCTACCCCAAATTTTGAATGTACTCTATGTCTGTCTCACAGGGGTGTACGCGGCTGACAAGTCTATTTTATCCTTAGTCTGAGATCCATGTATTTGGTTCCGGGATAGAACGACTTTCAAAAAAAAATTTAGCTGGGGTAATGTTTCAAACATTACCCCAGCAAAATCAGTTTTTTCCTCATAACTTTAAAACTATAATTTGAACGAATTTTGCTATTAATGGACAAATTTCTGCTCACGATGGACTAATTATCTGCTATATTCTTGACTCTCTAAAGCACAACATTTATAAAAATTTTGCTGCGGTAATGCACTCGTTTTATCCTACTATCCTACCTACTGATGTGAAAGTTAGTGAGGGAGAACGCATGGATGATTTTCATACCATATGGGCGCATCAGATCCTGGTTCAGGAGAGGGCAGTGTGATTTAGGCAAAGTGGTGAATGGAGTACATACTGCATAATAGGATACATAATAGAGGTAAGTGGTCGGATCATATCTGGAGATAAATCGAAGAACAGATGAAACAGTGGACTGCCATAGGATGAATGATGATGGCATTTTATCTGACTGCTTTTCTTAGACTATTCGTCCAAGCTTTTTTTGGACGAGATTTCGATATTTTCACAGAGTTCATGCGCCATGAACGGCCAGGCTCGCGTATGTAACCTAAAGCATTAGCTGAGCCACCTCCAATTGCTTTCTTATACTATGTCAATCTATCATTATGTAACTAGATAAGTAAGTAAGTGGTAGAAGCGATGTGAAAATATATCCTTAGAAGGATTACATAGATAAAAACATCGCAAATATGTAAACATACCTTAATGCGTGCTTCGCATATAGGTACGGGTTTCGGACGACTGCACGCGCGTCTGAAAGTGGATTCCCTGACGGCTTGCGTGTCCAGCCGCGAACTTGAAAGTTATTGGCTTTATAAAATTAAATTTTATTAGAAATAGGAAAAAATGTGTTTGTGAACGTGACTGTTATTTGAATTTGTAACTGATACTTACCATTTTGAAAACCCATTCGCTTAGGTACAGGTACAGGATTCCTGATTGTCACTGGCAATGATGAATTGTTTTAGTTCATGATAGAAGGAGGTCCATTCTTCTTTGATAACACTAAATCCACGCGTGGATCAGCTCGCACAGGCAAATAGATATAATTTAGGTAAGTAGGTAGATCTGATTCCCATTGTGCATTAAACAATGGGAAATAGCCGTCTGATATGACCCAACGTCATAGTTTCTTATCGGACAATCAGATTGATATAAGCCTGAAATGAGAACCAAACTTGGAAAACTACACGAAGTTATTTGTTTACTCTCTGCAACCAGGAGAAAAACTACATAATCACCAGACCATGACCGTTTAGTTTAACTGTCAGTTAATATTTAACAAATGACGACATGCTCTTTTTGTGGCATCTACAGATTTTAATCCCTCTAGCTCGTAAATTTTCTCGTAAAATTGGAGCATTAGATATTTTAGTTAAGTCGCATTTTTATAACAATATCGTTCATGCCTCCGTAGTTCACATGGCATCTGTGACTTGGGTGATAAAAGTTACGGCCCCTTGGGAGTGCCGCGCCTTCTCAATGAAGGTCCTATTTCTATTGACTGATTCACCTCCAACAAACAAATCCTCTCGAACTTATGACATCACCGGCCGGTGGAGCTTGTTATGACATCACACATGACCTTACTACGCTGCTGCAATAGTCAGTCAACAGGCCGCGTCTGCCCACATCGAACGCCGTCGCACCCGCACCTACTTTATTGTTGTTTATGCACGGATAAAATAATAATGAGTGAGTATTTCTCCACCAATAACAAGATAAAAGTGCTAGAATCAATTTTACGAGTGTGTTTACGGTTTTCAGTGAGTGCCTATTAATAGAATAATGTGTCAGCAAGAATGTCGCGGTTGAGGTGAACTAGCTGTGCTGTGATTGCTACCAAATATGTGCATAAGTTTTAACGTGTTGTTGTGAACGCTGTTTACAGCGCGTTTCACTTGCGATTTCAATGCGATTACTTGCTGTAAATTACTCGTATACTGTGGAAATGACACCATTACCTACATACAACGTTAATTGTGGTAAGGTGTTGTATTACTAGTAGTTAGATGTTTTATAAATAATGTTCGGATTTATTACGACGTCCAAAGAGAAAACTTACCGATCCTTAAGTAACAGTAACATAACTTTCTAGAACAAATCCAATTAGATAATGCGTAACAACAATAATAACGTTTCTAATGTTGACTGGTAGACTGTGCCATTTGGTGATACAGGCTAATAAATAAGTCTAATTCGTCGAGTCATGGTTAAGTTATTATTAATTACGTACTAATTGTTAATCATATTGAAACAATTTGCGGTTTCCAAATTTTCCATTGTTTGCAGGTCTTATTATAACATCTACGGTTGACTGGTAGATATTGCCTTAGGATGTTATTAACTGACAATACCATAGATACCACTCGATGCACTCGTGGTTATCGGTAAAAATAGACAGGTAATGTAATCGACCATTGATTAAAATAAATTAACAAAGGACAATGACCAATAATGTATGGAGTGTGGTCCAAATGTCCACCACTAACGAGACCTATTTAGTAAAATAGTCTACTAAATACTGATTCATTATAACCAAACCGCAATCAAAAATATGCTGTCAGTAAAAAGTTATGACTGAATGAAAAGTCTGTTTTTTACCTTTTCATCCGAAAAATGTTCTTGATATCATTCTATCCATTGCACAGTTTGGACTAATCTACGCATGTTGTGTCATGTCGCATGTGGCGCGGGGTTATAGATGAATTTTATTAAATCCCAACTAATATTATAAATGCGAAAGTAACTCTGTCTGTCTGTCTGTCTGTCTGTTACGCTTTCCCGCTTAACCTCGCAACCGATTTTGATGAAATTTGGCATAGAGATAGTTTGAGTCCCGGGAAAGAACATAGGATAGTTTTTATCCCGGTTTTTGAAACAGGGACGCGCGCGATAAAGTTTTTCTGTGACAGACAAAATTCCACGCGGGCGAAGCCGCGGGCGGATAGCTAGTATTATATATTATACTAGCTGTGCCTACGACTTTGTACGCGTGAAAATAGTTTAGTAAAAAATAGTTGTCTTTACTATTGCCCCTATTGGTTGTAGGGTGATGTTATTTATCGTAAAACCATCCTTGATAAATGGGCTATCTATAACAAAAATATTTTTTCAAATCTGACCAGTAGTTCCTGAGATTAGCGCGTAAACTACTACAATTTTTCAAACAGTCATAACTTTTTACTGACAGCTTATTTTTTTTTCGTCCCATACTGAAAGTTAATCTCTATTTAATGGAATATAAGCCAATATAGGTCTCATTAGTGGTGGACATATGGACCACTTTTGGTCATTGTCCTTTATTTTCAGAATTAAACATGGCATCATAAATATTTCCATGTGCATTTAAAATAAATATTTTTTCCTTCACCATCGTAGATATTTTGGTCCACTTCTGCACAGACCTTTGTTAAAAGCAGTCTTATCGTTTAGAGCCAGTGTTCTTACACTTGCTAGGCTTATATAAAATGGGTTATTCATCATCACGACTCGGAATCGTATATTTCTTACTAGCATCTGCTGTTGTTCATGCAGGTGACTCAACTAACCTATAATTTTGTAGAATCGCGTGTGTACGATCGAAGAAGTGTGTTTATAGACAATGATAATAAAATATCGACCAAAGAATAGAATGACATAATTTTCGCTAATTTCAGGATCAAACTTGTGCTTAAACTTAATTCCCTGGGCTCCTCTCGCAGACTCCTCGACATGCCAACTTTTTCTAAGCAGCAGTCAGACGTACAATATCTTCACTGAAATACGAGTAACTCTTTGAAGAAGGAAGTAGTTCCTTTCTTCGAGAGCATAACCATTAGTGCTGTTCTTCTTCTTTTCGTGTCGACAACAAATCTACACAGTGTCAGCCCAAAAGTCCGCCACAAGAGTGGCGTTGTCAGTATAGCACTCATCAAATCCTCCTGAGTGCAGTTGCTTGGGCACTCAGGGCACGACATCAGGTGCTTCATCGACTGGGGAACAAAACCACACCTGCACTCCATGTTTGAGCCATCCAAGAATCCCCACCTGACCAGATTGTCCTTACTACGGCCAACTTGCGTCCGAAGTCTATTTAAAGACTTTTTATTAGTGCTGTTTTTTGATTCCTCAGGTAAACCACAGAGCCTGAAGTCAGGCCGCGGACTGCCCGTGGTGATACCCTCGGAGCACCGCTTTGTGCTGGCCGAGGATGCCCTCAGCAAGCTCTTGCTGGAAGACGATATACGAGACCGCGCCGTCATCGTGGTATCGGTGGCCGGCGCCTTTCGCAAGGGAAAGTCTTTCCTGCTCGACTTCTTTTTGAGATACCTCGATCACACGGTAAGCAATACTATCAATATGTTTGAAGCATGGCTCACTTAAAAATTGAATTGACCTAAATCAGTTGTCGTCTCGTGCGTGACCCGTAAACCGCATAAGAATAAGAGCATAAAAAGATGACAAGTACCTATATGGCATGTCAGCTCTGATTTAACTTTACTTCTTTTATATTTTCTAGACTTATTTATGAACTTGAGCAGTTTTTGTGAAAAACCCATAAAAGGGCAGACTTCAGAGTTTCATTTACCTGGAGTGTGGCCATTCGTGTAATCGCATTTATAAATAGTTCGTCAATTATGTAAGCATAATTTTCCTCAATGATAATTGTGGTTTACATAGCTTCCTCTTGGAAACTGCGACACCATTGATTTGTAACTCAAGCTTCAGAGCCGGTATTCGGTGCTCGCCTCCGACGAATTAATAAACCAAATGACCTTTACTAAATTGGCTTACATTACATCTCGATATGCTTGAAAGACGCTTTCTGCACAAGTTCGTTTTACCTTGTTTATTGCACAAGATGTATATTCTCGTAACATCAAGACCATGCCGTTTATAATATGAAGGTGTGGAGAAGATTGATCCATAGTTCCAGAGGTTAATTCCCAGACCCGACACACTTCATTTAATTGCTCCCCGATAAGATATTATAGACATGAATCTACCTGTTTGTCCAAAAAAATATTAAGGTGGGCACGTTACACCGCCCGCGTCACGGTTCCATTGCGATTGACGCTATTTAGCCCTTTTATACAGCTACGGCCGTACTGATAACGTTTTTACCAAATCAATTACACCCTTTCAGTACAACCATGGAATGGGCGGCGACGACTGGATGGGGTCGGAGGACGAGCCCCTGGAAGGCTTCAGCTGGCGCGGCGGCTCCGAGAGAGACACCTCGGGCCTGCTGCTCTGGTCGCAGCCCTTTAAGGCCACTCTGCCTAATGGAGATAAGGTATCATCACCGTAACTATATTTCTAAGTTTTTGGACCTTGGTGCTTAACTCAATGAGTGCTTTCCTTCTTCTACTCTACAGTGACGCCACCAAACAATATTAAGTGTAAATGCGATAGCTCCACTAGCTACATACGCCCGTATTCACAAGCGATGCATGCTTAAGTGAAGCAGCAAATCTAACGCACAGCCTTGAATAGAGCTCTGTGATTGGTTCGTATGTCACCCTGTGCGTCTATGCACACTGTGAGACCTCAGAGTAATGTTTGTGAATAAGGGCGTTAGCCACTGCAGCGTTTACCAGTTGACACACTGTCTTAGCCATTACTGCGAGTTAAAGGATCTTACTCTAAAATGGCGCTAATTTTTGGGCGTTAATACGATAGCCCTCCTCATTGTTGCTGATTTTCATCAGTGCTTTAAACAGCAGTCACATCCTGTTCAATTGGTCTTGTTTAGCGTCGCCGTGTAGATGATTTTGAGCATAAACCTTCCGTATATGTGTCCAGTACATTTCATCCATGATCTTTGCCAGGTGCTGATCCTGCTGATGGACACGCAAGGCACCTTCGACAGCGAGTCGACGGTGCGCGACAACGCGACCATCTTCGCGCTCTCCACCATGATCTCCTCGGTGCAGATCTACAACTTGTCGCAGAACATAGAGGAAGATGACTTGCAGCACTTACAGGTGAGCAGCGCATTAGAAACAACTACACGGGTTTGCTGCAATCTGGCTTTTGTTGTTTCTGTTAGATGATATTATGATATATGATAACATTTTCAATCCAGAAATAATTCTACGAGTATTGTCAGTGACAGATGGCAGAAATATTAAAAATTTGAGATTGGTGCAGCGGTTCCCAAACTTATTTTTTCTACTGCCCACTTTGAGAATAAATTCTTTTTAGCGCCCCCAATTGTAGTCGAGTGTCGAGTGCTCAGTCGGTGTCTAAGAGTCCTCCTAGTAAATGACGCCTCCCAAGCCTCTACACAACGTCCCGATTTTTTTTCTGGGTCTCGTACCGCCCCCTTTAATCCTGCAGCGCCCACAAGGGGGCGTTATCGCCCACTTTGGGAAAGACTGGGTTAGAGTACCTATTGAATTTGGTTAGAGTTTGATTGCTTAAAAGTCATGCATCTTTTCTTAGTCTTTTAGAAGGGTTCTCGTCGATGGTAGAGTTGGGTACAATTTTCCGCACGATCTCTCGCCATTTCTCCCTTTTGGTAGACTGCCTGACACAGTCAGATATGCGGTTTTTCTATTATAAATTAATCAGCATCGTATTCTCCAGCTGTTCACAGAGTACGGGCGCCTGGCGCTGCAGAACAGCGTGGGCAAGCCGTTCCAGCACCTGCAGTTCCTGGTGCGCGACTGGAGCTTCCCTTATGAGCACCCCTTCGGCCCCGAAGGCGGTCAACAGCTGCTCGATAAGTGGCTTGAGGTAATAAAAATCACAACATTCCAGCGTTTCACAGATTTTTTTGCCACCTTGGTCTACTATGCTGAACAGTATGTATTTTCCACCTCGTTGAATTGAAATCATCAAGGCTACTAAGCTGAATATCTGAAGAAGTTCTTTGCAACATTCAGCTCTGATCATAAAAAGTCAGACCTTTCACCATCCTTTTTTTATCACGTAACCAAGACTTGAAGATATTATACCACCCAGAAGGCATATTCCACCTACAGATGAAGGACAAAATATGCGAAGGAGCGAGCTCATAAATGTCAAACGGCAAACAATGTATTAGCTCATTAACGTGACTTGTCCGAGAGATATTATCAGAGCCCCGATTACGCTAATTTTTACCGTCTCCAATACAGACGCGCTTCTTCGATACGATTGGTCAAAACAGTTGACGTCAGCTGTTTTGTTGTTGTCTTTTGCCTCTGATGAAACAAACACTTCCCCAGATCCACGAGGGCCAACACGAGGAATTACAAACGCTGCGGAAGCACGTTGTGGCGTGCTTCGAGAAGCTGGCGTGCTACCTCATGCCGCACCCCGGCCTCACCGTCGCCACCAACCCGCACTTCAAGGGGAAACTCTCAGGTGAGGCACTAGCAGAATTTATTTCAAATCAAATCATTTATCAGTTCGTTTCGTTTCGTTTTAGCCAAATGAACGTCCACTGCTGGACAAAGGCCTCCCCCAAGGTTTTCCATAATGAACGGTAATGCGCTGCCCGCATCCAGGCTCTTCCCGCGACCTTTACCAGATCGGTCATTTATCAGTACTTAGGCCATTTCCAGAATGCTTATACACGTCCCAAATATAGCTTTAGCTTGCCCTGCCACCACTTCGGGACAATATATGGGCTGGTGTTGAGAAGTGGCTGAAGAAACTCCATCACCATTGTCAGCCATATCTGGAGGGAAAAAAATTCACAACGCTGTCGTATTTTAGGGGTCTATCTGTCACTACTGTCGCACAAGCTGGCTTCGCGCTTTGCGTAAGAGGGAAGGAGTCAAACTCATAAAACTCTTTTATTTCTGCAATTAGGCTTTAAAAAAGCACTTTTACAGTAAAATCAAGAATTCGTATAACGTTTTGCCTCCCTGCAATTTAAACACGTATCGTCGTTTCAGCCAAACAACATTCACTGCTGGAGAAAGGCCTCAAGGATTTTCACAACGACCGGTAGTGTGATTTAGGCACTTCTGCGACCTTCACCAGAACGTCGGTCTTCCTAGTGGGAGGCCATTTTGTGAAACATATTATTGGCAGGTAGTTGCTAATTGCTCATAAGATAGGCCCCCTTAATTTAATTTATAGTCCGTGGTGCATAATCTTTTCTTAAAGGTTTTAAACCTTTGTTTGTCACCTGTCATCCGCTTTGCAATGGAGGGAAGTCGAACTCCTCCTATGTTCTTCTGATTAATTTCGTTGCGGGTCCAATGACAGTTTAACTTTCCCCCGGGACAAACTTGACCTTCATTGGTTGGGTTTTTGTGGCGGTCAAGCTGTAGATCCTGGCTACACAGGAGTTGCAGTGGTGGGAACGAGAGGTGGGAATAGTCCCGTTAGTGGGAGGCCAGCTGGCAACACTTCGTCTTCCACCTGATCCCCCAGACATAAGCCCCGAGTTCAAGACGCACTTGCGCCAGTTCATCCCGATGCTGCTGTCTCCGGAGCAGCTGGTGCCGAAGACGACGGGCGGGCAGCGCGTGAAGGCGCGCGACCTGCTGCTCTACTTCAAGGCGTATATGACCATCTTCAACGGGTCCGAACTGCCGGAACCGAAGTCTATTTTGGAGGTGAGGAGTTCACTTAAGGCTTGGTATTTCTTCTAAAGTAGGTATTTCGCGCTGTCAAAATCTGCGCGCGCAATTCTTCGCCGAAAACAGCGCGTCAAAGAGCTCCCGCCACAATTTCCAGCTACACAGTATAGAAATACGCAGTTGGTTAGTTTAGGTTGACTTGCTTCCCTTCAAGCGTCACACTCACAACACTTTCTAATAGAAATCATATCCAAGTGATACAAATTAAAACACCTTTCAGACTTTTTGGGAATATATTCTAGAATCGAATAAATATAAAATATAACTGCAGAAGTAAACACTGTTCAAAGTGGCCGTGGCGTCGCCCGACCTTCTGGAAGTTCTGCGCCGGCTTAAAGAATTTCAAGATTACGTCACCCGACCTATCGGTTGGCACTTGGGAGCTTGAGCGATTGGAATTTTTTTTTTATGATAAGTTACTCTTAGTAGCGATTATTTAGAGCTTGGTTAATAAATTTAATTATAGCTGTTGCAATTCACGAAGCTTTGCATGTGGTTAATAACATTAATCAGTATAGGTACGNAGTGAGGCGTGGCGTAGCCCGACCTTCCGGAAGTTCCGCGCCTGCTAAAAGAATTTCAAGATTACGTCACCCAACCTATCGGTAGATCCTCGGGAGCTTGAGCGATTGGAAAAACATTTTATGATCAGTTACTCGTAGTAGCGATTATTTAGAGCTTGGATAATAAATTATAGTTGTTGCAATTCACAAAGCTTTGCATGTGATTAATTACATTAATCAGTACACGCATCAATTTTGTTCAGTCTTTTTGTTTATTAATAAACTAGCGGCCGCCCGCGACTTCGTACGCGTGAATCCCGTTTTTCCCGCTAATTCCCGTTCCCGTGGGAATTTCGGGAATTCCTTTCTTAGTGCACCTCTACGGTACCTAAGCTACGTCCCTTCCAAATTTCAAGTGCCTACGTTTAGCCGTTTAGGCTGTGCGTTGATCTGTCAGTCAGTCAGTCAGTTTCTCCTTTTATATATTTAGAAGATAAAAATATCATACTAAAATTGCATACATATTTGTTTGTATTGGTCTGGGTGTTTTCTTTCCATAATTTATGTACACTGTATCGAAAATCACTATGAGTAATAAGCATCACACACGGTTACCTGGAGTTCATTACCGCAGCAAAAAGCTTGCCATCTTAAATGAACGGTATAATATCGAGGTTTCGTCAGTACAGTTGCGAACAAAGGTGTTTGTGTAGTGTAGTTGAGTTGAGAGGTCAGATTATTGAAATAATAAAACCAACATTTTATTTTTTAAATACATTTTAAAAATAATTTACATTACAGATAACAATGAGAGGATGACATTGCAAGGTGGTGCCAGTCCAGTCTTAAATCCGTTGATATATGCTGCATGTGCCATGTNACATAATTGTCGACAACTTCGAGTATAGAGTCTCCAACCTTCAGAGGAGCCCCGTGGTACGCTGTTGGGGTTGGCATTATACATATTAAATCTGTGCAGCAGTTGGTCTACATATTTAGTCTGATGTATAAATATGCCTTTGTCTGATTTCTCAATTTGCATTCCTACAAAGTTACTAGGTTTATCTAATATTTTCATTTCAAATATGGTCTGCAAATCATTTGTTATTGTTTTCAATGTATTCTTATCTTTACAGAACAATAATCCATCGTCTACATACAGGCAAAGATAACACTTATTATTATTGACTTTAGCAACATATACACATTGATCAGCTGTGCATTGAGTAAAACCAAATTTCTTTAAAACAGAGTCAAATTTCTTATTCCAGCAACGTGGAGACTGTTTAAGACCGTACAATGACTTGTTAAGTTTACATGCCATCTTTTTATCACAAGACAGACCTTCGGGTGGACTCATGAATATGGTTTCTTCTAGCTCACCATAGAGGAAGGCNCAATGCGATATCTGCATTTTGGTACTATTCTCACATAAGGCTTCCCCAACTTGTCTGGCCAGCATGTAGAGTGACCATTTGGCTCTGGTAAATTAGACAAGTTCGTCCTCCTGCAGTAGACACCAAATGATATGTTGATGATGGTACTACATAACTATTCTTTAGGAAATTCTTTTTTCACGTTCGAGAGAACAATCGTAAAAACTGAAGAGGACGGATATTACGAAGATCGTGTTAAATTTTAATGTCAACTTGCTATCAGTCGATACGATGACACATTAAATATAATACATTGTTTATGGGACCACAAGGAAATAAGTTTGGTCTTGGGTGCTTCCTGTGAAACAAATGACTAAAGCCACAATAAAACAGCCCTATTCTGGCTACCACATCGAATTAGGCACGCGCCAAGTGTTCAATTCAAAACATTTCGCTGGTGATAACATATCCTATGACGTAAGATTTTGAAGGTTCATGTAATGTACCGGTCTCTCACCATACAATACTGATTGTCCACAGGCGACAGCAGAAGCCAACAACCTGTCCGCGATAGCCGAAGCTAGAGAAGTGTACGACGCGCTCATGGACGAGGTGGCAGGCGGCACGAGGCCTTACCTGCAGCCCAAGGTGTTGGAGCAGGAGCACCGGCGCGCCAAGGACAAGGCGCTGCACGCCTTCCACAGCAAGCGGAAGATGGGCGGCCAGGAGCTCGCCAACACGTATAGCGTGCAGTTGGTTAAGGTAACGAGCGGCTTTTCCTCCATTTTGTTGTCCTTTTTTGGAAATTTTTATAACGCTGCTACTTTTAGGCCAACACATACAGCGTGCAGTTAGTCGAAACCTGGGACGGGTTTTCCTCTCTTTTTCCTCATTTTAATCGCCCCGGGTGCCAACCCATGCTACGCCGCCACTCACGTCACACAAGTGTGGATTGCTTAGGGCATCAAGTAGTCTTAATCCGGCACTGATAACGCTGCTATTTTTTGCATTCCTTCCAATCGATGAATGTATGGAATACGCTAATGATGGACAGACAGAGGTGAACCGAATATTGCTCGTGCATTCACCATCCCCTCATCCATGCAGGGTTACTTGGTAACGCTGTCTTTACGTATATTCGGATCTACCTGTCAATATTGCTCATGCTAGAATTTCGCTTGGCGTGAGAGGGATGGCAACAATCGAAATCGAAACTTCGGTTAGTGTATTTTGGGGGTAAGGGAAAAGCCACACGGTGCGGTACGGTCGCGGCGACGCCGGAGCGATGTCGCTGCGGCGTCCTACATATAAAAAAACAATGATATGCCAGACGGTGTGTTTCGGCGCCGCACCGCAGGCACACCGCACTTCGATTGAGCGAGACGGTGCTGTATTGCGGCGCCGCATACTACCATGTGTACAGTGATGCGGCAACATGTTTGCGGTGCGGCGCCGCATCGCACCGTGTGGCTTCTCACTAACCCCGCTGCATTTCACGACAGCTGTTTTTTCGTCGGTCGGAAGTCTTAAGTTCCTTACTTTACTTAAACAAAAATCTCACCTGTGACTTCAAGCCTCGTGTGGTCTCTTTCAGGAATTAGACGAGCTGTTCGAGCAGCTCCGTGCACACAACGAGGGCAAAAACATCTTCAAGATGGCCATCACGCCCGCTGTGCTGGCTGTTCTCATGTTGCTGGGATACCTGCTGGGCGTTCTGGGTTCAGGCGTGGGCGTCCAGACGCTTGTAGCCGTGGGACAGGTCCTCACTATCACTGCGGGGGCCATGCTCACGTTATGGGGATACAGCAGGTCAGTCGGATCCTTAAATGTCTTTGTTTAAAAATATCTTCAAGATAGCGATCACGCCCGCTGTGCTGGCTGTTCTCATGCTGCTGGGATACCTGCTGGGCGTTCTGGGATCAGGCGTAAGCGTCCAGACCTTGGTAGCCGTGGGGCAGGTGATCACTATTACAGCGGGGGCCATGCTCGCGTTATGGGGATACAGCAGGTCAGTGGGATCCTTGAATGTCTTTGTTTAAAAATATCTTCAAGATAGCGATCACGCCCGCTGTGTTGGCTGTTCTCATGCTGCTGGGATACCTGCTGGGCGTACTGGGATCAGGCGTGGGCGTCCAGACCTTGGTAGCTGTGGGACAGGTGCTCACTATCACTGCGGGAGCCATGCTCGCGTTATGGGGATACAGCAGGTCAGTCGGATCCTTGAATGTTTTTGTTTAAAAATATCTTCAAGATAGCGATCACGCCCGTTGTGCTGGCGGTGCTAATGCTGCTGAGCTAACGGCTGAATATACAGCAGGTTTGATTTTACCGCGATATACTCTTATCGACGTCAAAATGTATGATAAATCGATAAAATGGCGGATAACCACTTGTCGCGGCGCGCATCCTAGGCCTACAGGAAAATCTTTGATATCTCTAAACGTGATTATTTTTAGATGGCCGTATAAATTATTATAAAGTGAATTTTAAACTATGTAGTCTCAAATAGCAATGTAAAGAAAAGACTTACATCATAATTATTACTTCTTTATTCCAGGATAACTGGCAACCTGCGAGACGTAGCTGTACAAATAGATGAAGGAGCTGAAACTGTCAAAAATTATGTAAGTATACTACTGTATTTTGTCTGTCTCAATCTCGTAGCACCTCCCGGGTATAGTTTTTTACTTTGCGACTATCCATTGGCGTTTTTCTATAAGCGCTATTGAAATATCAACCTTAAAAACAACAAAAGTACTGATTTTAATAACAAACCTTGTAATTAATGTTATTGTTCCTTGTAGCTAACACAGCAAGCTGTTGGCAACGCGACTGCGTCAACGATGGGGCACAGCGAAGACAAGAAGTACTCATAACATTCCTACCTCACAGACTGATCGAGACCTTAAGGCCAACGACTTTTGGACAAAAATCATTGTAGAAAAGATATTTGTCAGTTACACAATGCCAGTTATGTGTTAGGGCTACCAGAGTGTCAAAATACTTCGCTTGAAGATTGTTATGGCGCAGTTACACTATGCGGGAAATTGACCAAACAGAAGTGCAAAAACGCACACCGTAGTATGCGTGATGCACGGCGAAACTAACTGAATTGCGTGTTTACACTATCTGTCTCGGTCCATTCCCGCATAGTGTAATGAGGGTTTTCGCGTATGAAAGATCCGCTAGAAGGCGGGACGTGGATGTGGGGTCTGACTGCTGCGTGATTGGTGGATTTTGACATATCTGTCAATGTCATGTCAAAAATAACCAATCATGCAGCATTTGGACCTCGCGTCTACGTATTGCCATCTGGCGGATTTCTCATACGCGAAAACCCTCATTGCGCCATTAGACAACAAATATTGTCCAGACAGAAGTAGCCTGAAGTAGGCTGATAATGAAGACTTTTTTGTATTCTTGATAGAATAGAATCTTCTAAAATGAATTGGTATTTTGGTTGAATTTTGTAGTTTAACATAATAAGGTGCAATAGGTACTTCTGTAATTTGTTACAAATATTTTACATGCATTTTCGCTACCACCACAACCTATAATACTTACTATTTTTAGAACAAACAAATTATGCGAAAATATATCGTGAATAACTACAGTCAAGGACTTATAAAAACACCTATGACTCATATTTACCCACCCATATTTGCTAGTTTTGCTACATTACAGCATTATTATTTGTATGTACTTATTTTTATATGAAAGATCTGAAACATGGTATTGTCGAAGTTCAGTGGGACTTCGCCCTAGAAAACTATTTTAATTGAATTGCAGATTGTGTGAATTTTAATGTCAAACTAATTTTCCTATACAATTGTTCTATTTTTATTCAATATACCTACAATAATTTTATAATATATATAAAACTATTTTGTATTTTTGTATCAAGCCATTCCTCTCACTTATAGCGCGCCGCTAGTTAAAAGAAAATATAGACACCTTTTTTTTTTTCTTCAGACATGTATTTCTACTATTTATTGTATAAATTGTTTTCTATTTAATTATATTTTTGATGATGTGATATGATAGATAGTTATAATATACTTTAATGTACAGATGTATACTGTTAGTACTATATTTTTAAGAATATTTTTACTGTTGCTGTATGTATCTTATATTTTTATGTACTCGAAACAAATTATATTATCAACAAGTACCAAGGTGCAATCTACGTCAGTAAATATGTTTTATATTGACTCCTGTGTTGTAAATTGAAGTCTTCCTAACTTTTATTTTACTGACTTAAAAAAAGGAGTCCTCAATTTTTTTTTCAATTTTTTTTAAAACTGTCTACCGAAGCTACGCCCGCCCATTATAAGATAATGTAGATGTGCGATTGAAATGATACATGTATTTAAATATTTTGTTTATTTTCGTTAGTCACGCACGGTTAAAATGTGAAGTGGAGCAAGTTGGTGATGCAACACCTTCCGTTAGGAACCTTAAAGCTAGGGGGATTGAGCAAGATACAGTGGGAGCGACAATACGTTGCAATTTAAAATATCATTTTTTAAACATTAATACTCGTAATATTGGTCCGTTATATCCGTGTATCGCCGCAAGTAAAAATTATTCATAATGTTTTTTTTTAATTAAACGAATAAAATCTGCATTAGTATATTGCTTTAGAGAAATTCTTATTTTGCCATTGGCCCAACAAATTGATAGATAATAAACTGATTAATAGATAGTACACCGCCATTGTTATAAAACCTATAACGGAAATATAAAAATAAACTCAGGAGAAGTATTGTTTCTCTTTTATTGGAATCGAAACTAAAATGTCGCAAACACCTGAAACATTTTAGTGTCAACCGCATAAAACACTTAACTCTAAGCGAAGTTTACAAATAAAGTGTGTTAAAACAATCTATTAGTTAACATAATTATAAACTACTATACACGTCGGCCATGATTGTTTCATAAACAAAATTACCACCCCGTAACAACTCTTATAACAATTATACTAATAATAACATATAAATTGACATATTATCTATTTTTTCATAAGAAATAATGATCGTTAACATAATATTTTGTCATGAACCAGTCAAATAACCGTTGACTAGCTTTCCTTCAAGAATTAAAACTAGAGATTAAAAAGCCAAAGTATTTAATGAGAACAGATTAAAAACGTGATTTAAAAGTTTGGCACGATGGAGTTACAGACCAAATAGTATTATCTATTCTATTTTTAATCTATGTTTACAACGTTTTATTGTTTAAAATGGAAGATAGGCACTTTTGGCTTTTATTTACAATAAGTTTGTATTTACAATTAGAATTTGTTTTATATCGATGTTTGATAAATACATAATGAGAACGAAAAGTAAAAGACCACGCTGGTAAAATGACTTATTGTCCGTAATTATGATGACTTATGCCCGTTTTCACCATCAATCCCTTAAGCGTTTGCTAACTAGACATCACTTTGGTTAAACGATCGCCTAAACTGCCCACTAACCTAAGTTCGTTTTCACCATGCTATAGTAAACCTAAGTAGGGACTCTTTTGTTAGGTGGCGTTTCTTCGTGCGCCTAGTGACGTTTGAAAAACCGGTAATTTCCGATAAAATATTTTATTGGGAATATCTTACGTATTTCACAGAAACAAATGAAATAAAAGTAAAACTAAGAAATAGTTGACCAAAACTGATGTCTTTTTGTATTTTTGAGTTATTATTAAAGACAAAAAATATATTTGGGCTATTATGTAATCTGTAGTTTGGGTGCATAATGTAATTCCTTTGCCTTAAAAAAAGAAATGTCAAGATGACTGCTGCACCACACTAATACAATATGAAAAATAAAAATGTACAATGTGTACATATTGATTTTGATAGATATTTTGTTGAGTTCTGTATGTAGTTTTGTACGATTTAACGATAAAAACGACAATGGAAAAAAGAAATGAAGCAAAATTTTTCCCTCAAGGAAAAAGATAAATTGGTTTACTTGCCCACAAGGATACTGTACACGCACGTCAGCATCGACCGCGACCTACGTGCTAGCCGACTGGCTCATGAACTCTCAACGTGCACCGTTGGCACTCTACACCGACGGCACATTGGACTGGACACATTGAATTGTGTAAATCTTGTATATAGCAATAGCATAACAGTAATAAACCAGATATCAACCGTCCGCGTTGTGTTTCATTTACCCCCACTGAGGCCAAGAAAGCCTTAGTGCAGCCCTCCTTCCTATCAAATCTTTATTATATCTAATTATAAGGTATTGTTAGGGCTCTAGGGACTACAAACGAAGCCAGAAATATAGCTTGGTTATGAGATAAGTTATTAGTGACCAAAACCTACTATCTATACCGTATGTAATCCTGTCTCACTCTATAATATTTTTATGTAGCCGCCTGAATAAACTTGAGTGAAAAAGTGTTTCCACTGTCTCAATTGCATAAAAAGCTTCAAAAAAATCATTTCATTCAGTTTCCATTTTGCCGATTAGGCGTGATTGACAATATATAACTGTCACCTAACACTTAGGCGGCCGAAAATCGGGCCCCTGTTTTAAAGTGCTCCCATAAGGCCTAAGGTGTCCCTTATGTGTTGGTGAAAACGAAATTCCTGTTAGGTATTACCTAATATTTCATAAAGGTCGCTTTAAAATTAGGGATTGATGGTGAAAACGGGCATTAGTCACACATCAATCATTCCTGTACATAAATACACTTTGGAGATTTAAGTAGGACATTAATTAATTAATATCAATGCAATTTGGATCTCACAACCATATTATCCTTTTGTGAACTTGTCATTAACATATTACACTTTATAGACGTGGCAAGAGGAGCTTAGAGCGCGTCAAAATCCAGCAGCCATACAGAGGAAGATTAGCCTTATTCCATCAAGTACTTTAACAAAATAAACTCTGAAAATTTAACAAACAAAGATGAAGCTAATTTGGAAAAATCTACTAACGAATTGGCACATCACATTTGAGTGTTCCGAAATCTGAAGATATGTCGATTGTACATAAAAAAATACTTATTTACATAACTATATTGCCACTGAAATATGGCAAACGCGACATAGCGTGTCATACTCAATATTTATCAAAATCGAAATAGGCTATTTATTTATTTCTATAAAATACAAAAAGACGACATAATTTTGAACTCCGAAAAATGCTTTTTCATCACCCTGTAATTCTATATTTTTAATGGTGATATGTTTTATTTATAAAATAGCGTTATCAAATTTTGCAAGTATTTATATCTCAATGTTGCCAGCACTGTCGAGTTTACCATTTTCTAAAAGTGTCTTTCAAATGCCACTCAACTGGTTGAAAATGTAACTCACAGGAGTTACACCGAATTTACTAACTAATTTTAAATAGGTACAGTGATATGATTAAATTGTACAATTATATCTATTAACTACTTGCGGTATAGGTACTTAAGTCCAGTTCAAAAAACCCCAGTTTCTAAAATGTCGATGCATATTTTTGAAGTGGTGGTTAAGTAGTTTGTCTAGTTGACTTTGATTTTACTTTGTGACATTGGCACAGTTAGGAACCAATCTGTGAGCTGGATTCGATTGGCGTGTCTTGTTAATCGTCTTAAATAACACTGAGGTATGATGCAGAGGTTATTGTGGTTGAACATGGCAAACAATAATGCTGCCATATTCTGAAGGATTTTTTGTCCCTAATATCTGTAGATATAATGCATTTCCACATCGTAAAAAGTAGGTAATTAATATGGGAAACAGATAAACTTTTCTTTTTGGAGAAAATGGGGTAGGTACAGAAATATTTGTTTTACATTATTGTCAAGTGACAAATGAAATACACTCTAATCTATCGTAATAGAGTACAAAATGTTTTATACATCTACTTCTACTAGTGTCGTTAAGTACATCTGTCTGGTGCATTTCAACAAGGTGTCCCTCCTTTAAATTCTCTGTTACAATGTGGCTATTAAAATAATCTTTGTGCCTGAATGATTTCACATCAATAAATTATGACCTATCATACGTTATAATGAAATTATTTCACCGTGATATGATTTTGTATTGATTGGTTAATCCTAAGGTATTTGTCTTTGTCATTATTGCTTAAATTACCTACATTTAACACAAATCTAACATCTTTTGGTGAACAAAATGTCAAATTCTTTGTTTTATAGTATCGAAAATTTTTCTCAAGCATTCTGTTACTATTTTATTTTCGTAATTTAAAATAATTAGTTTTATTTAGTTATTATTGAAAGTTTATTTAGTCTTATAAGCGACGGACGAAAACTCACTGGAAATATTGTTGGTAGTTGCTTTCAAAATTTATTAAGTATGCCAAGTGGACGCCGTAATACTAAGCGATATACGGACTCTTCAGTCAATAAGTATCACGTGTCACATGCAAGCTTGTTCCATCCCAAGACATTACATTATTGTCTAAACTTATAAGTCAGATTAATCAATCAATACTACGATCAGTACTAAACTAGTTCTACATAAAATTTCACTATAAACTGTACAAAAACAACCATTATAACCTTCACCAGTACCGGTCCTTTAGCTCGAGTCTAGTAATATCTACACTAATATTTACCTAGAATTTCAAGTCGAAATTTTAACTCACCCGAGTTCCTTCGACGGGGCGGCCGCAGATCACACAGTCACCTTCCCAGACACTCATTATCACACAAACTTTCGATTTAACACTATTTCGACGTGAGCAGGATCGATGAGAAGCGGACACGGCGGCGTCCGATTCGGTTCGTCTTGATAAATTCGTCTTCCGAAACGTACGAGAAATGAGGTCGCGCTCATTCATGCACGTTTTATATATCCCGCCCCCACGCGTAAACTATTTGAGCAATTTCGATGCGACGACGGAGGAATCTTCGCGGGCTCTGTCCGTCATCCTTCAGCACGCGAGAGCCTCGGCTGATATACGGTTAGTTTTGTGGGGGTCGTCTCCAGCGTCCCGCGCGTGGCGTCCCTTGAGCCGGGCCCGGTCGTGTCCAGCGTCCCGCGGGTTTCGTCCCTTGAGCCGGGCCCTGTCGTGTCCAGCGTCCCGCGGGTTTCGTCCCTTGAGCCGGGCCCTGTCGTGTCCAGCGTCCCGCGGGTTTCGTCCCTTGAGCCGGGCCCTGTCGTGTCCAGCGTCCCGCGGGTTTCGTCCCTTGAGCCAGGCCCTGTCGTGGGACGCGGGGGGGCGGGGCGGGGCGGGGCGGCATCACAAGTGCTTGTGCTTGCCGTTGGCGGTGGGCGTGGGCGGCCCGAACGTGCGCTCGGCGGCGGCGGCCGCGGCGTGCTCCATACCTTTTTCGAGGCACGACTGGTACACTGGCTTCATTACCTGCCATCAAACGTTTTATTGTAGTAATTATGCTTTTTTAAAGAGACGCGCACTGGTAGCCTAAAGGTTGGAACGCGGAGCTACGCAGCACTGTACAGCGTGTCAAAATATTATCTCGTAACTGTGCAGCCTTAATGCGACATACTCCATACGAAATGACTGAAAGAATAATTTGACACTTGGTGTCGCGCCGTGTAGTACCACGCTGCGCCGCGCAAATATGGCCCGACTTTTAGGAGCTTTTCCAGTTTCACCGGGTAGAGTGGCGAGTACAGAAGGTACTCAAGCCGTTTGGTGATAGTCAGTGCGCGTGACGACGAAGTGTAGTGTGAACTCCACATAACTGACGATAACTATGTAAGAGAGAAGATTTAAAATAAAAAGAACTTACATTATCCCATAAGCAGTTCGCGACTTCGTCTATAGTCACGCCTAGCTCCCGCATTTCACCGCTGTACCTGAAATAGATGAAGAATAAAATGAACAACAATTGAATACAGAATTGGTATACAGAACTTCTAGTAGGTCCGGTTTCCACCAAGATGTGCGGCGTAGCTGGCAGCCTATTTCCACCAAAGCGAAGCGGAGAAGAGCAGAGACGAGAAGAGATGTGTGAGCTGTGCATAGCTATGAGCTGTCAGTCTATTGCTGTCTATGAAAGGAAAATACACTCCGCAGTTCTGCTCCGCGCCACGTCGCCGCCGCGGTCAAATTGTACAGAAAAATGAGTCCACGCGACACTTCTCTTCTCTTCTCTCCACGCCATCAATTTCCACCGCGCACGGAGCGGAGAGATGTGGAAATAATAAAACCTGATTTGTTATTTAAAATACTTTTTTGCTTCGATCCGTCTTGAGAAACTAGGCCTTAAGTAACAATTTCTGTTGTCACTACGGTGGTCGTTCAGCCGGAGCCCTACCTGATGTAGGCCCACAGCACGAGCGTGAGCAGCGCCAGCCCCATGGCCAGGTTGCAGAGGTTGGCGAGCGGGTACAGCCCGACGAGCCCGAGCACGCCGCTCAGCACGTAGAACACGAGCGCGATGGCGAAGACCACGGAGGCAGAGCCCTACCTGATGTAGGCCCACAGCACGAGCGTGAGCAGCGCCAGCCCCATGGCCAGGTTGCAGAGGTTGGCGAGCGGGTACAGCCCGACGAGCCCGAGCACGCCGCTCAGCACGTAGAACACGAGCGCGATGGCGAAGAACACGGACGGCGTGCGCGCCGCCTTGAATATGTTCTTGCTCTCGTTGTGCGCGCGGAACTGCTGGAAGTGCTCCTCTAGGTCCTGGAATAGGGAGGGTGACATCACTCACTGCGACACACCTAGTGAACATAAAGCCTAGGCGCAGACCAAACTTTTAGTAGGCAGGTAGTAGAGCGCACAGTCTATGCCGTAGTCCACCGACTTTTTGTCGGCCGATAGTTGCGTCAAACAGCGAACTGTTAATCAGTATGGAAATGTATGTATGAACATCGGCCGATTCTTCATGCAAATCAGAACGAATGCTGTTCGACCCAACTATCGGCCGACAAAAAGTCGGTGGACTACGGCATAGACTGTGCGCTAAAACTCGCGCGCCGCTTGCGTCCGCCGCTGAGACTTTAGGAGCGGGCACCCGGTAGTACGCAGGCGCGCGTCTACTCCCGCCCATAAAGTTATTATTACCAAGCGGAATAAAGCAACAAAAGACTGAGCGAGCGAGATGTCACTAGCATCAACACTGTGTGGTTAAAAGAGATGCAATGTAACAGAAGTTTTTGCATCACCTAGGTATTTGACAGTTCGTTAGCACTTATTGGCACGCTGAAAATTTAAACTCCCGAGACATTTTCCGATTTTACGCAAGTGAAATAGTGGAAATAGTGGTGGAAATAGTTATGAGAAATAGTGCTTCATAAACGTGGTGATTGGTTCGGTGATTTATTTAACGTACAAAATAGTGCAATAATTCTGACATTGACACACAAATAACATCAAGTGTCATCCAAAATCGGTTTCGTTTGACAGCTCGTGGTTGTTGCTCAATTCCGAAGGAATATTTATTTTAACGTAAGCTCTTAAACCACTTCAACCTAGATATTCATTTCATCTCGAATGAGAAGTGGTGGTACTGACCTGCACGAGCTGCTCGCAGTAGGCCTGGCTGAACTCGGTGCCGCCCATCTTGCGCTTGGCGTGGAAGGCGTGTAGTGCCTTGTCGCGCACGCGGCTGTGCTCCGCCTCTAACAACTGTGTCTGCAGGTAGGGCTTCGCCCCGCCGCAGACTTCCTCCATGAGCGTCGTGTAAACTTCCTTGGCTTCTGCTACCGCTGTGAGGTTGTTCGCTTCCGCTGTGGCCTGGAAAGGAATATTAGTTTCAATGACCGAAGACCGTAGAGGTTTTAGAATTTAGGCTATGATGATGACGTAAATTCTAATTAACTTTTAGACTGTCTATATTTTCAAAGAATGGGACATAGAAACCAGACAAGATTCCAGGTTAACTAACGTCCAGGTGTTTATTGATACCAACTGAAAGCTACCAGATATTTTTTTACCATGTAAATGTGCAGGTTAGAATAGGGTAGTACACACACACAGTCAATTGACATGCTTTTGATGACCTGTCAAATTAAGATCCCTCCTGATGTTTGACAGTTGACTAAGTTCTTATTCATATTGAAGCTACCAAACATCTAATAGGCTAGAATATCGTGTTCCTTAGAGTAGTTCTTTCTTAAAACCTGTTGGTTAATGCTGTCTTCCCAATCGAGATATTACCCGCAAAATGTATGTCTTTTTGTAGCTAAATAAAGTTATGTTTTTTCTTTTCTTTCGAAATGAACTCTAGACTCACCACGAGCATGCTCTTGGGCTCAGGCAGCTCGTTGCCCTTGTAGATGTGCATGTAGGACTTGAAGTACTGCACGAGGTCCTTGGCGCGCACGCGCTGCCCGTTGATCAGCTTCGGCACCAGGTTCTGTGGAGCCAGCAGCATTGGCACCAGTTGCTGGAGAGAGCGCTGGAACTCTGACTCGATGTCTGGAATTATAGATTTTCGCGATAAGCCCATACATTTGTCGTCTAAAATCATCGATAAGAATTTATCACGGCGCGCATCCTAGCCCGTATGATGGGGATGGCAGATGTTTCTATTAATAACAGAACAAATGGAAGCGATTAGAAACGAAAGTCGACGACCTGGTAAAGATCAAGGGAGGCACTTTAATGCGGACAGTCCAGGACCGGTCGTAATGGATCCTTGGGGAGGTGATTGACCAGCAGTGGACGACTTTAGGCTGAAGCGATGATACGGCGTCGGCGAAACGATGAGGGAAGAGGAAAACTTACAACACTGTCAGCTCTGTGGGAGATGGCAAGACATCTGGGTGCGTAGTGTGAGTTTGGCAGGGCACATATTACACAGAACTGACGCCCAATGGGACAGCAAGGTTCTGGAGTGGAGGCCGCGTACCGGAAAACGCAGCGTGGGAACTGACGACATCATAAAGGTAACAACAGGAAGGCGCTGGACGCAGGCCGCAACAACCGGGCTACATGGAAAGCATTGGGGGAGGCTTATGTTCGGCAGTGGACGTCCTATGGCTGAGTATATTTTTTTAACGGGCTCGCTAGTGACGTTTTATGTAAATTCACACTAAGCCTAACCTGTAAGACAGTCATCGAAGTTTTGGTAGTGACCTGCGAGGCGCTGCAAGCAGTGCGGATGAGGGAAGAACGTTTCGGACTTGCGAGGCGACAGTCAACGTGCATTAAGTGCAAATATGGTAGGGCGGGGTATTTGACCTACGAAGCGGCTATCTAAGTTGCGTGAAAGAGGGGGAATGTCTACTGACCTGAGAGGCGGCCGTCGAAGTGTGGGTTGGTGGCGACCTTGAGGCCGGGGTGGGGCATGAGGAAGCACGCGATCTCCGAGAAGCACGCCGCGATGTGCTTGCGCAGCGACTGCAGTTCGGGGTGCTGCTTGTCCGACACCTGACGACACACAACTGTTTCATTAACCAACATAAAAAATAAAACACTCGTATCAAAGATGTTTGAGTTGATGAGTGCTACTGACAACGCCACTCTTGTGGCGGAGTTTTGGGCTGACACTGTGTAGGTTTGTTGTCGACACAAAAGAAGAATCAAAGATGTAATCTATGGACACGGTAATAATATCATACAGTATTGTAACTTCATATAAACAGACGAAACGAGAACTTTCTTTCGAAATTCAAATCTCGGTATGCGCTCGGTATGCAAAAGTCGGGGGTGTCGCGAATGTGCCGAATGGACGTCGGTGGCCAAGCTGTGGGCCAAGTGTTAAAATTTAAAAATGACAAAACTGATTGAATTTGAATGACCGTCATTTACGGTCAAATTGGTAAAAAACTAGTCAAATTGTTATTTTCAGTCAGTTTGATTGGAAATGAAAATGATGTTGTATTAAACCAGCTTATTTTTGCCCACGACTTCAACGACGAATTAAAGTAACAGATCATTATGATTATTAAAGTTTCAAAATGATTTAAGTAGTTTTTACTAAATTAAATCTACTAAGTAATCACAAAACAACACACATTTTTAACCTATTCCATTCACAAAGTATTTTGTTTGTCTAACTAAATAAAAAATACAATTACAAAACTAGATAGAAATTTTAAGTAGGCAGATGTAATCAAACTGGGTACTGTAGGTGGGCAGCCCTATCGCATGTTGTCATACTGTGACATACCGCGCGACTTTTGACATTTATTTCAAAAATATGGCCGAGTTGGAATACTGTATAGATAGTATTACCGTGCTATGGAGATGAAAAGATGTTATTTTCAAAAACCTTCAGTCAAGTAATATGCGCGTGCGCATCTCTTTTACAAAAGTTATTTATGGCACTTTCTGCGATAGTCCTTCCGTTGAGTATAGAAAACGATTACTTCGCGGGAAGACGACATATTGTTATTTACAAAAAAATAAATACCTTAAGTCTTCAAAATGTCTGCTGTTTGGTAGCTATACAAGCAGACAAACTTTGGAGCAAGATGGTGGTGTATAAAATGTCCAAGAGACAAGAATATTGATTTTCTAAAACGTTCTACAATGTAGAATGTCCCATCCATCTTGAGCCTCTTTATTACGATTAGTATAAACTTTAGAACGAGATGGCACTGTATACAATGTCCAAGGATAGCATTTTCTGAAAGACATTCCCCAGAATAGTTTATCACTCACCTTGAGCCTCCTCTGGAGTATTGTCTGCCCACCGACGGCGCCGTAAGGCGCCTCGTAGGGGAAACTCCAGTCGCGCACCAGAAACTGCAGCCGCTGGAACGGCGTGCGCCCGCTGTCTTCAAGCGCTAGACGCCCGTATTCTGTGAACAGCTGGAAAACAAGAACAAACGTTATTGTTGTATACAATTTACGGGGGCTACTGTATTAATGGTGCCACCACATGCCGTATTTTGGTTCGTTTTCGATAACTTTAACAAAAAAAACCTAGATCAAAACTCAGCATTTTGAGAGCTATGATGCCACACGCTGAAAATTAGCCATTTTACGCCGCAGTTTAAGTTTGACTGTGATGAGCACCTCTCTTCCACTCGATGGAATGTTGATGTAGTGGAAGGGAAGCTGGATACGGCCAGCGAAGAACTGTAGCCTTATTCATGTAACAAAACTTCAACGACAACAAAACACTGAGTTGCGATCCTATCGAATAATCGTTCTATCAAAATGACCCTTGTGAATACGGATTAAGAAATGTTTTTCAATGGGACGACTTATGAACGTCAGCGAGATCTTGACTGTCAAAACACGTGAATTAAGACCACTGGCACTGGTCGTTGTAGAAATCTTTTGGGAGCCTTTGTCCAGCAGCGGACGCTCTTTGGTTTAACGCCTATCACCTAATGATGGTGATTACACGATAAAAACATGATGCAGATCTGCAGGTGCTGCAGGTCGTCCTCCTGGATGTTCTGCGGCAGGTTGTAGATCCGCAGCGAGGACAGCATGGTGGACAGCGCGCACACGTGGCCTCCTGTGGAGCGCGCACACGACAGCAAGCACGATACAGACCTGCAGGTGCTGCAGGTCGTCCTCCTGGATGTTCTGCGACAGGTTGTAGATCTGCACGGATGACAGCATGGTGGACAGCGCGAACACAGTTGCGCAGTCGCGCACCGTGGACTCGCTGTCGAACGCGCCTTGTGTGTCCAGCAGGATTATTGCTACCTGGAACAATGGAACAAGTTTTATGATAGTTCTTTAATGCAAAAAAGCATGCAGCAAATTGGTCAAGGTCATCTGATCGAACTCCCACAACCACAATGGATCCACCATTGGAGATGTTTTATATTGCGAAGCTCTCCTTCTTAAGGACTTGTTCCTCTCGAGTAGAATACTGCGCTGATAAAGTTACTCTTAACACTTTCTCGTAGTAGTGTCATTATATCACTTGTAATCGGGGCGTTTAGACAGACACGTGAGTGATCCTGGGCCTTCTTCAAGTCAACGTCGTTTTGCAGGTCCTCCGTGAGCCAGAGCCTTGCAGCGGTTCCACCGTACTGACGAGAGCGAGCAATCAGTGCGACATTACCTTCTCCCCCGAGTCCAGCGTGGCCTTGAATATCTCGGACCACATTAGGATACCGGTGGTGTCTCGCTCGGAGCCGCCGCGCCAGCTGAAGCCCTGCAGCGGCTCCTCGTCACCTCCCAGCCAGTCGCCGCCGCCGCCGCCTGCGCCGTACTGGAAACAAGCCAACAAAATAATGTTATCAAATCAAATAGTTTTACATATTTGCGAAAATGGATTTTTACATCAGTAGGTGTTACGATTTTTCAAGTAGGTATCTCCATCTTCCACCTTCAGACATGCAAATTCATGAACAAATAAAAGTAAATATCCTGCTCAACCCAACAGGACAGCTTGGGGAATGTCGGACGAACTCTTCATTTGCCTCTGGTAGATTGGCAACACGACTTTCTAGTGTTCCTCATTGGATACTGGATGACCTGATAATAGAAGTATGCACCAGAACTGCCAGAAGACAACAGGTGTTTTTATCTGGACTACAAAATGGTGATTCTTTTTAGACGTAATTTGTTAAAAACTATTTTTAAAAGTGAGTAGGTATGTATGAGTGTAAACTTTCTGTGACAGTATAAATTACGCGAAAGTACAAATACGTCTTCGCAGGAATTCTAATTTATCAATGTTATTTATGTCACTTTAGGTTTAACTTATTTCATCTACGAGTTATTTCATTTTTAATCCGAGTTATAAATAAGGACAAGACATTGAACTTAGAAACTATACAGATGTCAGCCAATTAAAATAATTAAAGATATGATTAAAAATAACACTTTAAAAAGCAAGTTACAGATAAACTTTCAACAGTAAACATGCCTACGTCACTGCGATGTATCGTTTACGTGTGTTCAATGATAAAAACAAAGCTTATCACCCGGGGCGTTGTTTAACAATATCAATAAAGTAAGTAATTACACAACTAGGTATTGCAGTTGCTTTGAAAATAATAATTAACATTATGTTAAAATATTTATAACAAACAAAAAATCTATGAATAATGAATGATTTTATATTGGCAACGACTGCTAGCACCCCGCGAGAGGCTGCCAAAACAATATCTTGTATATTGTATATCTTACATTCGGTATTTCAGACCACGTCATGCAGATCCGGACCACGTAGAGTGAAAATGCTAAGTCATAACATTTAGATTGTTGCGTCATGTAGGCACGTCATTTTTTGCAAGGTATGGCGAAATATTAATTAATACTGATTTATGCATCATCATTAGGAGTGAAGGAAAGTTTTAGCCTCCGACACACAGACGATGGAGGACGTGTTACTGAAGCGCTACTTTATAGATTTCAAGATTTGTTGCAAGTAACAAGTAAGAAAGTTGTTACAGTATAGTCCCAAAGCCTGCAAAAAGGTAAGACTTATCTATGGTCAACCGGGGAATTTTAATCAAATTAAAATAGAAAAATAGAGCCTTAGAAAATGCCATCAGAAAGAGATAATTATAAGTTACTGTCCCTCATGTCCTTCTGCAGCAGTAGCTCGCTGAGGGAATCCTCATCCAGCACTAAGGTGTAACTGGGAATAGTGCTCACCTTGTGATGCATATACCGGAGGAAGAAGTCCAGCAAGAAGGACTTGCCCTTCCTGAAGGCGCCGGCCACGGATATGACAACCACATCTCGGTCTCTGATGTCTTCTTGCAGCAGCAGCTCGCTAAGGGCATCCTCGTCCAGCACGAAGGTGTGGTCGGGGCCGGTATTCACGACCTGCACGCCGTGCGGGCCGGCCGGCCGCGGCGCCGGCGCTGGCTTCTCGGTCACTGTGGCGAAAGAAACCTGGGTTATAGCACTTATAGTCTAGAGGCATATTGGCAGCAAACGATAGTGAGACAATACAAAGGGTGCATGAAATAAATCTTAATATTACTATCATAAATGCGAAAGTTTTAATATATGTTTGATGCTCAGTCACACCAGAAATTCTGCAATGAATGGATGATTCGGCACAGAAATAGACTCTGAACAAGTAGTATCCATCCTGGAAAAATGCACGGTTTTGTTTCTGTTTTTCACAGAGTACGGAATTAACATGATTTTTTTATAAGTTTAAGAGTCAGATAGAGACCACTCTCTGCCTGTAACTGTACTGATCAGTGTATTTAACTTATAAGAGTTTCATCGTTAAGTTCGTAAAAATAGAGATTTGGCGCTCGTCAGACTATATTTTTATTGTAATATAGAACCTATTCAACTAGAAAAGATGCTACAATATTTATCTCAATTTGTCGTCTGTAGGTAGTACATAAGAAAGTAAGTAGTAATAAATTATGCAGCCGTTCATCCAAAATCCCAGACAACCTTGGTATAAAGGACAACTTTAGAAAGGTTTGCGAGTGGTGCAGAATCAATATCCAAAAAGTTATGAATTTTTTGATAACCCTCAATAGGTATTCATTGGTACGGGACTATTCCTACCTCTCGTTCCCACCACTGCAACTCCTTTGTAGCCAGGATCTACAGCTTGACCGCCACAAAAACCCAACCAATGAAGTTAAGTTAAGTCAAGTTTGTCCCGGGGGAAAGTTAAACTGTCATTGGACCCGCAACGAAATTAATCAGAAGAACATAGGAGGAGTTCGAAATTAAGGTATTCATTGGTAGTAAACTTATACATAATGTTAAATAGTGATAAATTAAAGTCTTTATCGAAGAAATAAATGTGAATTTATTAACACCAAACAATTACATGTACGGATCGTAGATCAGAGAGTAGAAAGATGACAGAGCTGTCATAGACAAAATAAAAAATAAAAATACGGTCAAGCGTGAGCCGCATGTAAAAGGCGATAAATTTCAAAAAGGTTTAACACTCCCTCTACATTTAAGCCTTTTACAAAACAAAGATAACAAAAATCTATGTTCGTTACATANTTGTGTTCTTTAATAATTTTTGCATAAAGGAGTCAGTTCCATTTTGTATGGACGAAAAACTCAGAATCAATTGGGACTAAATGTAGTTTCCTTATAATTCACATTTTACCCCAACCAAAGCTCAATGTCGACAGGATCACTATACTTAGTTATTATTAACTACTATTGCGCATTAACTTTTTAATTATGGCGAATTTCGTACCGCCTATGTTTATTAAAAATAATGCCTATATTAGGCTTTCAACTAGCTCTTATAGCAATTACATAGTTGACATTTACTAATCACTTCTACTATTATTATTGTTTTTGTAAAAACTTAAATCGCAAGCAACTCATGATTTTTTCATTCAAAATTAGAAAATAGAAAATAATAATTTACTTCTATTTATCGATAATAGGAAACCGCATTAGAACACGAGCCCTGCACTATGTTACGACCGGCACATGCGGCCGTACTGTGTATTTTCACGCGACAGTGGATATCGGAAGAAATAAAATACATTGCGCAGTAGTTAATCATGACATAAAGTGGTTGCTAACTAAATCGTCAATGTAAAACGTATTTGAATTTTTACACCACTAATTGCGATATCGCAGTAACAGTTACGGTACTGAATTCGTTCGTAAAAATGTTTAGTTTTTTTAATTAATAAGCTAAAAACCAATGGATTTGCAATACTTACATGTGGTAATTGACTCCATTGTTCCTCTAGTTCTTCGTTTCACTTGTGTTATTGCACGTAACAACGCATTATCCAAAAATATTGGAGAACATTACCTCAGTACGACTGAATCGCGTTTCTGGGCATATCGCGGAGACACGCGCCACGCCCCCGTTTCACATCTATTCCCTTCTATGATCTGAGACCAGTCCAGTCGGGCCCAGAGCAGTATGTGGGTCACGCCAACTCGCAGTTACCGAATAGACTGGTGATTTATTTCACTTAGAGCTTTAAAGGCAGCATACTTTTGGTTTATAGTAAAATAAAGAACGTTTAAATCGTTCGTTCGTTTCAGACAAATGACGTCCACTGCTGGACAAAGTCCTCCTCCAAGGTTTTCCACAATGCACGGTCCTGCGCTGCCGGCATCCAGCCTCTTTCCGCGACCTTTACCAGATCGTCGGTCCACCTAGTAGGAGGCCTGCCCACGCTACGTCTTCCAGCCCGTGGTCGCCACTGTCGCTTTCCATAATTACAAACTACAAAATCCATACTACAAAACTTCCATACTACAAAATCGCTTTATCTATTACCAAATAAATACATATCCCATCAAAAACAATACTTGTCAAAAAAACCAAGTCTCGCAACTCAGTTGTTCTACGGTAAAAAGTTGTGAGATCCATGTAATACCAAGTCCAGGCCAGGAAATCTTTAANTGTTAAAGGGCGTGTACCTAAGCTTGTGTTCCCTCACAAGATGTCTTTTCTTTGAGAGTTGAAAAGCACCTATAAATAGGTAGGAATTTTAAGTATTTCATATTTATTAAGCAACCTACACAATACAACTCAGCGTACACGGTTGCGTATGAATTGCAAAAGATCAATTTCGAAGGTCATGGACTCGAATGGAGTTAATTTCGATCCATCCCAGTCAATTGATTGATCAATAATGAGCGACAATCATATAGCTAACTAGACGTCAACTGTATGTATGGCAATGCTTATGTTACAAGAAAGTTAAGAGTAATAAATGATTTCACCATATAAGATTGAATAGCACTCAATATTAGAAATTAACGTAAATATTTTTTTTTACAGTTAGGTGTGTTTATTTTAATAGCGCAACAAACAACAAACCAATAGAGAATCAAAACGTATTTTAATGCGCAAGATAAACAATAAACAACTTATTTTACTGAACGAGGCTATATTAAACAATAAATTCAACTAAAATAAAAATTCATAGACCTGAAATAATTGTTTATCATTGTTTAGAAGGCCGAATCGTTTTAATTGATCATTTTTACAATAGATAATTAAGTGCACGTATCAAAGTCAAAGTCAATGCAGCAACTGGTTTTCGGCGGCAAGGTAACGTCGGGTTACTTACTACAAAATGCACTAAACATGTGCAATAATGTGAGTGTTATTAGTGGATTCGGTACCTTCCTACTAATCCTACTAATATTAATATTTAATGCGAGTTTGTGTGGATGTCTGGATGTTTGTTACTCTTTCACGCAAAAACTACTGAACGGATTTTGTTGAAACTTTACAGTATTATTGTTTATAACCCAGATTAACATAATAGGCTATAATTTACTACGATCTGTGACTGTGACAAACTAAAATTTCACGCGGGTGAAGCCGCGGGCAAAAGCTAGTAGTTAATAAAAGGTAATAGGATATTCGATGATTTTTATAATATCCTAAAATCCATTCACCAACGATTGTAACATTACAACATACACCACAAAGTACTGAATACGGTAAAATTAAAATACCAATGAGCAATGCTTTGATTTTGTCATTCATATTATGACGCCCATGAATTTGTTATATCCCAGACTATCTATATATATAAAAGAAAGTCGTGTTAGTTACTTCGCTTATAACTCAAGAAGGGCTGAACCGATTTAGCTGAAAATTGTCAGGGAGGTAGTTTAGAGCCAGGAGAAGGACATAGGATACTTTTTATCCCGTTCGAAATTAAAAAAAAAGTCTGCTTATTTATTGCCATTAAGGCGGAACAAAGTTCGCCGGGTCAGCTAGTTGGACATAAGGATAACATTATGCCAAACATTTAACATATGGATCAGTTTTAGTATTGTTCACGCGCAAATTGAACCGGCAACAATTTGGCACAGATAGCGTTATCGGCGAAATAAATCCAGCATATGTTAGTGATGTTGGACAGCGCCGATGCACGATGCCACCGATAACGAAAGTGGTCAGCGATCGCTGACAAACGATTCGGTTACATAGCATACAATCGATGAGCGCGGGCGACGCACACGAACAATAAATTAAATCTAATTTAGGTTCGGAAGTATGCAGTTGGCGAAGAGCAACACAATTCCCCATTTTTTGTGGTAAATAATCACTACTCTCTTACTTACGCCAAGATAACAACAAGAGGTAACAACAGGGTTTCGGCTAAAGCATTGTTTTGAATCTTTTAAAAATAAGGAAATTAAAATTCGCCTAATGAATATGAGGGAAAAAGTTTAGCAAACTTATAATTCACTATGCATGTGCAAATCTTACAGTGTGTAGAGACTAGATTGTTTGAATTGATCTGGACGATTCATTAGGCTATTGAAGTGGAACCAGGACAATGGAATATAACTTACTATAATAGCTTGTATATGCCAGACTTTAATAAATACACACACCGGCAGATTTAGAGGAACGGAAAAAAAAGCATCAATATCATCATTATTTTAGGAAAAAAATGCCTAATTATGATATTATTTTTTAATTTAATTCTAAATATGAAAAAACTAATTGCCAACAGTATATTTTTTTAATTATTTTGTTTAAATTACCCCATCAACAGTTTCGTTGAGTGTTTTGAATTGAATGAAGCTTTTGCTAATTTGGATTTCTTTTACGTGAAAGATGTTTTTTTTCTGAGAATTTTGTTGTGTAAGCATTCAGTTACTTATAAGGGTTTATTATGCCCAGCTTAGCACCGTCAGAAATCATTAAGGCAGATGATATGAGAAGTAACGGCCATGCATACAAATCGGCTGCCGTAAGACGTCGTTGATCAGTATCGACCACCCATGGCAGTAACCAACGGTACAGATTGATCATTTCTGTCGTTAGGAGGAGGGTTCAAGTCAGAAAAAGGCGTACTTCGCGACGGGATGACCGTTTTTTACAACTTCGAGTTTTCAGAAAGTCGCGGTTACCTGCTGTTCAAGCCAGAAATAACCTTAA